AAAAAAAAAAAAAAAAAAGAAAAATGCAGGAGTTTTCTTAATACTCCCTAAGAGTATGCCTAAAATGAGCCCGTATTTTATAAATTTGATAAAATTTTTTAATAAAAATATTGCAAGTATGAGGGGAGGGCAAAAAAATTTTTTTAATTAAAAATAAAAACACCTCCTGTTCAGCCCTGATACCTTTGTTACTGGGTATGTTAAACTAAGAAAACAATTCTGTTGAATCAGTGTTATTGAAGTAAGTTTATTTTTTGGCTTAAAGAAATTCCTGCTTTTTCTTTTTAGTTAATGTCATATTCCATGCAAAGAACTGGTATTTACTTCTTATAGTTTTTTTGTAGGTTTTGGATTTATTTCACTTTCAAGATAAATTGACAGCACGACAATTTCAGAGAGTTGCCACCACTACCTTTATAACTTTGTCAAGAGAACGCCCACAATTGGCAGCAAAGTATTTGCTCCAGCCAGTGTTAGCTCCTCTTCATCGATGTTTGAACACAGCAGGTAAAGGAGGAAGTGTGGTGGTGGGTGTGTCTCTGAAGGACCTTCTTCAGTATTTTATGTTTAAATGATTTAAATTTGTATTATTTCAGTGTCTTTAGTTTTTCTTTCCCTCCCCTTGACTTTCTATTTTCAGAAATTCACTTATAAGTTTCAAAATTATATATTGAACTACCCATATACAGATCACCTAGACTGAATAACTATTTACATTTTGGCCACATTTGTTTTATCTTTCTCTCTTTCTACACATATAAACGTATTTTTTTCTGAAGCATTTGAGATTTAGTTGCAGAGATCACAGCACTTCTTCCCTAAATACTTTAGTATGCATCTCCAAAGAAAAATGTCAGTCTCTTGCATAACCGCAATACAATTATCGCACTCAGGAAATTTAACACTGATACAATATGCTGTGATCTAATATACAAATTCCATTCAAACTTCTCTAATTATTTCAATAATTTCTTTTATAGCTACTTTTTTTTCAAAATCCAGAATTCAATCAAGAATCGTGGCTGGGTGCAGTGGCTTATGCTTATAATCTCAGCAGTTTGGGAGGCTTAGGCAGGCAGATTCCTTGATATCAGGAGTTCAAGACCAGCCTGGGCAACATGGCAAAACCCCATCTTTACCAAAAAACAATATAAAAATTAGCCAGGCATGGTGGCAAGCACCTGTAACCCCAGCTATTTGGGAGGCTGAGGTGGGAGGATTGCTTGAGCCTGGAGGTTGAGGCTGCAATGAGCCATAATCATGCCTCTGTACTTCAGCCTGCGCAACAGAGTGAGACCTTTGCTCAAAATAATAATAATCTATAATAAAACTGTGTCTAAATAAATAGACTTCTTATAATACTTATAAAACATTTTTTTAATTTTAATATTTATTTATTTATTTATTTTATCCAGTCTCAGGTAGTCTGTTACAGCATAATTTTTATTTTTTATAGAGACAGGGTCTTCCTATGTTGTCCAGCGTGGTCTGAAACTCCTGGATTCAAGCAATCTTCCTGCCTCAGCCTCCCAAAGTGGTGGGATTGCTGAGGCGGGAGGATCGCTTGAGCCCAGAAGTTTGAGACCAGGCTGGGTAACATAATGAGACCCTATCTTTAGAAAAAATTTTAAAAATTAGCCGGGCATGGTGGTGCATGCCTGTATTCCCAGCTACTTGGGAAGCTGAAGTGGGAGGATCACTTGAGCCCAGGAGGTTGAGGCTGCAGTGAGCCATAATCACACAGTTCCACTCCAGAGCCTGGGTGACAGAGAAAGACCCTGTCTCAAATAAATAAATAAAATAAAACTATTTTAAAACTTTTTGAAGGCCGGCCGGGCGCGGTGGCTCAAGCCTGTAATCCCAGCACTTTGGGAGGCCGAGGGTGGATCACGAGGTCAAGAGATCAAGACCATCCTGGCCAACATGGTGAAACCCCGTCTCTACTAAAAATACAAAAATTAGCTGGGCGCCGTGGCGTGCGCCTGTAGTCCCAGCTACTCGGGAGGCTGAGGCAGGAGAATTGCTTGAAACCGGGAGTCGGAGGTTGCAGTGAGCCGAGATTGTGCCACTGCACTCCTGCCTAGCGCCTGGCAACAGAATGAGACTCTGTCTCAAAAAAACAAACAAACAAACAAACAAAAAAAAAAAAACCCAACTTTTTGAAGGAAAATTTCCAAATACATGCTTATAGAGAATATATAATGAACTCCTATGTACCTAACACCTGGATATAACTGTTAACTCTGCCATTTTTATTTCATCCAATCCCCAATTTTTCATTCAATAAGTTTAAAATGAAAATTCTAAGTAATAATGTGGTATAGGTTAATTGGCAATGTTGGTTTTTAAATAAATTTTTAAATAAAATAACAACACATGTTTATAATCAGTGGCATCGTAGATTCCATGAAATGTGTATGAATTGTATATTGTTCAATGGTAATCATGTCAGTTTTCTGATCTTAGCTATTACTCACTGAGTCATCTTTCTAGTAAAACTTTCTTCTTTAGGTTTAGTATGTTCTATTCAGTGAGGCACTAAATATGGGTAATTTTATGTTTTTTTCTCTAGAGATTCCAGAGAGTTACAGGGTACCAGGAACTATTTTGGTGACAGAAGAAGAACTTTGTAGATGCATTGAGGATGTGTTTAAGGTTGGTAATCTGAATAACTAATGTTTTTATTTACTTCTTATTTTAAAATTGTTTAAACTTTTTCTTTTTTTGTAGAGATGGGAGTCTCGCCACATTGCCCAGGCTGGTCTTGAACTCCTGGCCTCAAGTAATCTTCCCGCCTCAGCCTCTCAAAATGCTGGGATTATAGATGTGAGCCACTGCTCCCAGTCTTTTAAAATAATTTTGCCTTTTAGTTAACACTTCAAGCATTGGAATGACTAATCTAAAGCTCCAAGCTGTCAGAATCTTTTCACTTTGAAAACAAGAAACTGACCTTTTTAAGTGAAAAAAGTGATATATTTTTGAAACCCTGTTAATTACATCATTTATTCTAAATGTTGAAACAGTTTAGATTCTCTAAGCATGTCTTTTGAAGAAATTGACATGGGGCCGGCCATGGTGGCTCACACCTGTAATTCCAGCACTTTGGGAGGCCAAGGAGGGCTGATCACCTGAGGCCAGGAGTTCAAGACCAGCCTGGCCAACATGGTGAAACTCTGTCTCTACTAAAAAATACAAAAATTAGCTGGGTGTGGTGGTGTGTGCCTGTAATCCCAGCTACTTGGGAGGCTGAGGTAAAAGCTCCCCGCTTTTACCTCGTAGGCGGTGGCTGCAGTGAGCTAATACCATGTCACTGCACTCCAGCCTGGGGCATAGAGCAAGACTCTGTCTCCAAATAAAGGAAAAGAAATTAATAGGAGTGTTTTCAATAATGTAGCCTTCCTAAAAGTATATGATAATTGAATCTACTTTATAACTTTTGATAGTAATCACTGTCATAATGAATTAAGTCTGAAGAAATGATTCCTGTAGATGACTACCTAAATATATAACAAGAATGAAAACTTGCTTTCCCATTCATAGGGAGAAAAAAAAATGAATGAAAACTAAGAATCTAAATTTTATGTTCTTTATTATCACAGTCTTACAAATATATATGGTATATGCTTTTGGGAAAAAATGAAGTTTATTGTATTATGGCTACATAGAATTGGGCTAAATATTCTTTAAAGTTTATTTTAGGCCCAGTGTGGTGGCTTATGCCCTTTAATTCCAGCACTTTGAGAGACCAAGGCAGGAGGATTACTTGAGGTTAGAAGTTCAAGACCAGCCAGGCCAATATAGTAAGACCCGATCTCTATAAAAAATAAAAATAATAAATAAATAAGGTTTATTTTAATAAATTTATAATAATATTTTACTATTGAAAACATGTACATTAGAAAACAGCTTTTACAATTATATTTCATATAAAAGGTACAGTTGCTTTGGAAAATAGTTTGAGAATTCTTCAAAAAGTTAAACATGGAGTTATCATATGACCCAGCAATTCCATTTCTAGGTATATACCCAAGGGAAATAAAAACACCTTCACACAAAAACCTGTATGTGAATTTGTAGTAGCATTATTCATAATAACCAAATAGTGATAATCCCAGCTATTTGGGAGGCTGAGGCCAGAGAATCGCAACTGTACTCCAGCCTGGGTGACAGAGCGAGACTCCATCTCAAAAAGAAAAAAAGAAGTTTGAATAAATTTTTAAATTTTAGTTAGGTTTTTAAAAAGTTTTCTTGAGACAGTGTCTTGCTCTGTTGCCTAGGCTGGAGTACAGTAATAGTACAGTAGCTCACTGTAGCCTCAAACTTCTGGCCTCAAGCAACCTTCCCACCTTAGCTTCCCAAAGTGCTGGGATTACAGATATGAGCCATTGCACCCAACCCAAAAATTTAGTTTTTTATGAAATGGTTCAAACATTCAAAAGAATTATGAAAAATAAAACACTCATGCACCCAACACCCAACTTCAGAAGTTAATCATTACCAATTCTATTGAAATCCTCTATCTACACATCCGTGATCACATCTTCCTTCCTCCCCACCCAAAGAGAACCACTATCTTGAATTTGTATTTATTCATGTAGTATCCTTAAGCGTAGTATTGTACATTATTTTATTCTGTTTTATTTTTCTTTTGAGTTGGAGTCTCACTCTGTCAACCAGGCTGGAGTGCAGTGGCACGATTTCAGCTCACTGCAACCTCTGCCTCATGGATTCAAGCGATTCTCCTACCTCAGCCTCCCAAGTAGCTTGGATTACAGGCATCCACCACACGCCTATCTAATTTTTGTATATTTAGTAGAGACAGGGTTTCACCGTGCTGGTCAGGCTGATCTTGAACTCCTGACCTCAGATAATCCACCCACTTTGGCCTCCCAAAGTGCTGAGATTATAGGCATGAGCCACCACACCAGGCTTATTGTATTCTACTTTTGAGATGGGGTCTTGCTCTGCTGCTGAGGCTGGAATGCCATGGTGCAATCATGGCTCACTGTAGCCTTGAACTCCTGGGCTCAAGCAATCTTCCCCTGTCTCTACTAAAAATACAAAAAATCAGCTGGGCCTGGTGGCGCTGCCTGTAATCCCAGCTACTCAGGAGGCTGAGGCAGGAGAATTGCCTGAAGCCAGGAGGCGGAGGTTGCAGTGAGCCGAGATCGTGCCATTACACTCCAGCCTGGGTAACAAGAGCGAAACTCCGTCTCAAAAAAAAGCAATCTTCCTACCTCAGCCTCCCAAGTAGCTGGAATTATCGGCACACACAGCTAATTTTTAAAAAATTTTTTGTATAGATGTAGTCTCACAATGTTGCCCAGGCTAATGATTTTAAATTTTATCTGAATGGCATCATAATACATATAACTGTAATTCATTCATTTTCACTGCTAGATTTTATTCCATTGTATGCCTGTATTACCACTTGCTTGTTCTTTTATTGACAGACATTTGAGTTGTTTCCAGGGAATTTCCACCAAATTTCTCTTGGGTACATTTTGATTTTAATTAGAATTTCTATTATTACTGGTGAGGTTGAACATAATTTTTGTGTTTTTGGTTGGTTCATATTTTTTCTTCTGTAAATTACTGATTCAAGTATTTGCCTATTTTCAAAACTGGGTTATTTGCCTCTTTAAACATTTCTAGAGTTAAGTCGGTTTTTTGTTTTTTTTTTTTTGAGACGGAATCTCACTCTGTCGCCCAGGCTGGAGTGCAGTGGCACGATCTCAACTCACTGCAACCTCTGCCTCCTGGGTTCAAGCCCTTCTCCTGCCTCAGCCTCCTGAGCAGCTGGGACTATAGGCACATGCCACCATGCCCAGCTAATTTTTGGTATTTTTATTAGAGATGGGATTTCACTGTGTTAGCCGGGATGGTCTCAATCTCCTGATCTTGTGATCTGCCCGCCTCGGCCTTCCAAAGTGCTGGGATTACACGTGTGGGCCACCACGCCAAGTCTTGTTTTTTTTTTTTTTTTTTTTTTTTTTTTTCAATAAACTGGTTCATTGAAGTATACTTTAAATATCGTAACATCATTTATTTTAAATATATAGTTCAGTGAATTTTAGTAAATTTACACATTTGTGAAACCATCACCAATATATAATTTTAGAACATTTCCTTCATCAAAAGATCCCTTGTGCCATTTGTAATTGCTCCCTATCCTACCCCTAGCTCCAGGCAACCATTAATCCATTCTCTACCTCTATGGATTTGCCTTTTTGTGGATACTTCATATAAGGGAATTATGCAATATGTGTTCTTTTGTGTCTGGCTTCAGTCACTTACAATAGTGTTTTGTTGTTGTTGTTGTTGTTGTTGTTATTGAGAAGAAGTCTTGCTCTGTCACCCAGGCTGGAGTACAATGGCACAATCTCGGCTCACTGCAACCTCCACCTCCTGGGTTCGAGTGATTCTTATGCCTCAGCCTCCTGAGTAGCTGGGATTACAGGCGCATGCCACCATACCTAGCTAATTATATTGTATTTTTAGTAGGGGGGGTTTTGCCATATTGGCCAGGTTAGTCTCAAACTCCTGACCTCATGATCCACATGTCTCAGCCTCCCAAAGTGTTGGGATTACAGACATGAGCCACTTAAAAACACCATAGTATTTTTAAGTCTCATCCATGTTGTTGGAAATACCAGTTTCTTGCTGCCTTTATTGCTAAATACTATTTCATTGTATGAATAGTTCACATTTTGTTTATCTGTTCATCCCTTGATGGAAATTTAAATGGAAATTAAAAAAAATTACTTTATTTGCCGGGCGCGGTGGCTCAAGCCTGTAATCCCAGCACTTTGGGAGGCCGAGGCGGGTGGATGACGAGGTCAAGAGATCGAGACCATCCTGGTCAATATGGTGAAACCCCGTCTCTACTAAAAATACAAAAAATTAGCTGGGCATGGTGGCGCGTGTCTGTAGTCCCAGCTACTCAGGAGGCTGAGGCAGGAGAATTGCCTGAACCCAGGAGGCGGAGGTTGCGGTGAGCGAGATTGCGCCATTGCACTCCAGCCTGGGTAACAAGAGCGAAACTCCGTCTCAAAAAAAAAAAAAAAAAAAAAAAATTACTTTATTGAGGCCGGGTGCGGTGGCTTACACCTATAATACTAGCACTTTGGGAGGCCAACATGGGCAGATCAGGAGGTCAGGGGTTCAAAACCAGCCAGACCAACATGGTGAAACCCTGTCTCTACTAAAAATACAAGAATTAGCCCGGCATGGTGGCACATGCCTGTAATCTCAGCTACTCAGGAGGCCAAAGCAGGAAAATCACTTGAACCCAGGAGGCAGAGGTTGCAGTCAGTCAAGGTCATACCACTCTACTCCAGTGGGGTGACAGAGAGTCTCTCTCTCTCAAAAAATAATAAAAATAAAGGGTATAGATCAATGGCTTTTATGTATAGTCATAGATTTGTACAACTATCATTACGATCAACTTTAGGACTTTTCATTCCCAAAAAAGAAAACCCCAGCCAGGCACAGTGGCTCACGCCTATAATCCCAGCACTTTGGGAGGCCAAAGCAGGAGGATCACCTGAGGTCAGGAGTTCGAGACCAGCCTGGCCAACATGACGAAATCCTGTCTCTACTAAAAATACAAAAATTAGCTGGACGTGGTGGCGCATGCCTGTAATCCCAGCTCC